TGTGTGTGTATCCAATTTTTGCCTTTTTACAAACACCTTTTCTTTTCCACAAATGTGTGTGTGCGTGTGTATGTTTTTGCCTGTATTTGATAAGTGATACACGTTATTTGTATGTATGTGTCAATCAATTAAACAAAATAATAATGATAATATTTGAATAAACTTAAAGTAGGCGAAATAAGTAGCAACTGATGGCGAAGACGACGATGAAAAAAAATATCGATATCGGACATTTCAATGATAATCATCATCATCAATTTGGATAGTTTTTTTTTACTTTACTCATAATATCGATAATGATTAGTGGTTTTGTTTTGTTTTAAGCCCCTTTCGAATTTGGATCAAATTTGGATTTCTGAATTTCTCCTTGCTTGTTTGAATGTTTTTCTTTTTTTTGAAAGCACTAATAATAATAATCACATCATCTGATATGTTCAAAGTGTATGGCAGTTTTCGCCATTTATCAAATGATTTCTTTTTGCATTTTTTGCATTTTTGCCAATTTTCAAAATGAAAATTTCATTTTTTTTTCATTATTTCACGCTGAAATTATGTTAATTATAACCAAGAAAAAGATAAAAAACAGTAAAAAAAAATCCTCAAATTGATCGATCATAAAAATGTAAACTGGATTATAAAAAAGTCTTTGAAAAGCCTAACAGATCATCATCATCATCATCATTGTGGTCGTTTATCGGTGATTCATTTCAAAACAATCATTTTTGATCTGAATAAAAACCAATGGACAATGGATTATCAGATCAGGATTTTTGTTTTACCTACTGTACTCTATTTTACAATTGATTTCTGGTTAGCTAGCTGGCCACAAATGATTTTTGGAATTTTTTTTTTTTTTTTTTGGTTTTGTTAATGTAAACGATTGATATGACCTCAATTATTATTATGTAAAAAAAAAAAAAAGCCGAAAAAACTGTTAATTTTTTCTTTTTGGTTTTCAACGTCTAAAACATCTTGATATAATTTATGACCATCATTATATTAATCTTCACACTTATGATGATGTGATTATTGGGCTTTTTTTTATTCATTCATTATTATTTTTATTTTTTTTTTGTGCATCTACCATTCAATAACCACCATCATCATCTCGCATAGATTGAATTAAAAGGATTTTGGCTTTGGTTTTTTAGTTTTTCATCATTTTCAATCCATGAATAAAATGAAATTATTCTGTAAGTTCTTTTTTCTTCGACATTTATAATGAAATAATTTTTTTTTTATTTAGAATTTTGCCATTTGAATACAAGAACATTAGCCCCTCATCATTAAATCGGCCATCATCAGCGAAAAAAATTATTTACTTCTTCATCATTTTCCTTTATTTTTTGCCTAATTTTGGTTAAAAATCCATCATGTCAAGTCATCAAATTGGTGATCATATCGATGGATGTGTCCACCAATTGGACAATAACCAAACAACAACAACAACAACAACAACAGAAAAAAGAAGAAAGGCACGAACCAAACTACAACAATTTGATATGCATGGGTAATCGATTGAGATTGAATGTATGTGTATACTATTATAAGGTATTGTCCACATAATTTTCATTATTATTTTTTGATCAAAATCAATCGATCAACGATTGTCGATATATGATTTTTTTTGTTGGAAAATTGATATATTAATAATGTTCCTTCTTGCCATTCATTCGTTTGTTGGTTAGTCTGTGGCCATCTTTTTCTTTCTATTTTTTTCTGTTGGTATGGCAATCAAATTATTATCAATGATCAATATAGAGTGAGAGAGAGAGAGATAGAAAGAAGAAGAGAGAGAGAGATCGATGAAAATTGATTGTTTGGCCAATGGAATAATCAAACATGATAATGATGGTTAGATGTGTGTAACACTAGTTGGTCAGTCAATCACAACACAATAATGGGTAATCAGATATGTGTTGTATTTTTTTCAAATAACAAAGAATGAAGAAAAAAAATGTCAATCGATGATGATGATGATGATGATGACTATTACAAAGACATTCTTTTCTTTTCTTATTTTTTTCTGTTATATAATAATAATAATATCTTAGGTCAATGGACAATTTAACGAAAAAGAAAAAGAAAAAGATCAGAATCGATGATTGAAACTTGAATTCAATAATTTTTTTTGTCGTTGTTGTTACATTATACCATTTTTTTTCTTTATTCGCTTTTTTTGTGGTGTCATCCTCATCATCAGATAATAATAATGGTCACACTTTTTTTCATCTATATGTCCACCACAACCACGACAATAACAACAACGGTGAAATGATCATATTCAATAGATTGATTGATTCACTTGGGTTTGAAAAACATTTGGTTATTTGTGTCAAAATGAATTTTTTCTCTATGCTGATCAATGATAAAATGAGCCAAAAGAATGTGGACATCATATAAATTGTCAATGGAAAATTTAATTTCATTTTTTTCACAATTCAATAAAAAATCGAATTCAAAAAAAAAGAAGAAAGAACGGGTAATTCATTTATTCATTCATTGAAACAAACGCTGGTAGCAAAGAAAAAAAAAGCCTCGAATATTGACCGCAATGACCGAATTATTTACGAAAATAAATCAAAAGATAAAGAAGTAAAAGAAAGAAAAAATTTACCGAAAAATTCAATCAAATGTCAATGGCGATTATCTAATTTATGCCAACATTTATTTATGTATCATCATTGAAAACCAGCAGCAACAACAACATGCATAACTAAACTAAACTAAATTTTCTGTTATTTAACCGAAAAAAAACAACACTGATGTCATTCATTTCAATCAAAACGAATGATGATGATGGCTTGATGAACAAAAACAACAACAACAACAAAAAAATTGATCAGATCGAATATTTCTATTTCGAATATCAGTCAGTGGTCTGTCGTCTTTGACCGAAAATTGAATTGAAAATTTTTCTGTTTCCTATGAAAAATATTGAATAATTTCGAAAAATCAAGCTTCATTGCCTATGTTCAAAAGACCGAAAGGTATTACTTTTTATGATTTGTGCAGCTTTTTTTTCTTATTACATTTCTGTTATTGAAGCGATAATGATAACCTGTTGATCACCATCATCACCACCATAGCCACCATTTGGATGAATCGACAAAAAAAAAAGAAATAAAAGAAAAATCATTGACCAAAAATCACCATTTTTGTGTTTGTGTGTAAAATTTGAAATGTACACACAGTTCAAACAGGTGTCAGGTCCAAAAATCAGGCAACTGGTAAATGAAGAAAGAAAGAAAAAAAAATAACAACAAGACAAGAAATGATGAAAAAAAATGAGATTGATCGACACGGTTGTGTTTTTCTTCTTCTTTCGTATACTTTGTACTGACGTGTAGTTCCCGAAATCGAATAATAATTTTTTTTTTTTTGCTTTTCCAATATCAGTGGTTATTCTATTTGTTTGATAATTATATTGTGCTTGCACCTTATGGCTGAAGAGAAAAAAAAAACATTTTATTATGGATTCAGATCATCAGCATCAATCGAGCCGACGATAAATAAATGAATGCAAGTAATGAAAAAAAAAAATGAAGCCTACTTTAATTGGATATAAAAAAAAAATTTTCATGAATTTCATTCGAAAGAATCCGATGGTTTTTTTTTGTTCTGATTGATTCTAAAAATTCAATTTTTTCGCCGTAATAATTTTCATTCATAATTTTAAAATGTCACCAATCTACAAGATTATTGATTCATCCGAAAAAAATGTCATGTCTATGTTGACTTTTTTCTAAGATAAATCATCATGATTAATCAATTTGCTCCATCTCTGCTTACAGTGAAAAAAAATATGAAATTTGATCGAAAAAAAACAAAAACAAAAACAAATAAAAAATCCATATTTAATAACGAATGAAAAAAAAATGAAAAACTTTAGATTGTGTGTGTGTGTGTGTGTGTGTGTGGGCGACTTGTAAGAATTATATGGGCTGGATGGCTTCTTGCTTCAGTCCCATTTGAATTATCTTTCTTTATCAGTAATGATTTTTTTTCGCTTATGCCTTTGGGTTGTTCAGTTTTTAATAACTTGTTGTAGATAATTATCATTTGATAAAATAATTTGTAAAACATTATCATAATAATTATCGGCGACATTAAAGAGTGAAAGATAGTGAGATTTTTTTTTTTCCTCACAAAATTTGTCAATGTTTATTACTTTATTTTTCATGTTTTACGTTTTGTAATGCTTCTCAATTATTCCGAATAGCAGGCAGTGATGGATTTTAGGAATTTTTTCTTTCGTTGAAAAAAAAATCATTTTGTCCAAAACAATTAAATTTTCTTAATTAACGATTAATTTTTTTTTTAATTTAAGTGAATGAATTTAATCATTTAATGGACATCAAAAAAAATGAGCGTTATTTTTCCATTGTTTGATTTACATAAACACACAATACAAATCAATATATATCATATATATCGATTGATTTGTAATAATAATAATAATAATGTGTATATCAATCTGTGTGTGATACATATACGAAAAGTGAATGATGAAGAAAAGGAATAGGTGTGTGCGTTTGTCGGTGTAGGTGTGGTTTAATTAATCAAAACAATAGAAATGATTTCATATCGGAAGGGGAAGGAGGCGTGTCAGTGGATAATTTATTTTGTGAGTATGTGTGTGTGTGTGTGTGTTTTAAATATGCAAACTTTTATTGGCCATGATATATATTACATTTATATGTCAGAATGAGTGATTGAGTGAAAGAGAAAGAATCAAAGATATGCACTAAGTTTTAATGTGGATGTAATTTTTGAAACTTTAAAAAAAAATTCTAATTAAAATTTGTTTGTTTTTCTTTCTTAATTAATTAATAATTAATTATAATTGAATGCAAAAAAAACATGAGGGTATAAGTTGTGTGTGTGTGTTACAGTATTTGGCTACTAAAAATGAATTGAAAAAATTATTTACAAAAAATTTTTTTTCTAAAATCAATTGAAGCTTATGTCCAATGTTTTTTTTTTTTTGATGATGATGGCTTAGTTTCATTTTTCATTTGATTTTTTTTTTTGTTTTGATGGCAGTTTTTAATTCAATAGAAAAAATTCAGTTACAACAACAGTGAGGGGTGGTAGAAGGTGAAAGCAGAAAAATCAAAATTCTAATTCAATGGTCTGACTAAATTGGCCACATTACTATTGATTGACCAACAATCATGACAATAACCAAATGTAATTAATCCATTCATAGTAAGATTATAATCACGTCCACAGCGTAAACATTTTTCCAATGATGATAATGATAATGATGATGATGATTGTGATGGTGGTAATGGTGGTGGTGGTGGTGATGTTTGTTGTTGCTGTGGTTGTTGCTGTTCATCATGTGTTTTCATATGTGCACGTAAATTACATGCTAATGCGAACCTTTTATGACAGATTTCACATTCATGTGGTTTATCTCCTATAATTGTTATATTTGTAAGAAAAAAAAATAAACAAAAAAAAAGAAAGAAAACATTTTTAATCAGGAATTACTAATCAATATCAATAAAATATTAATGCAAAAAAAAATGATAATTTAAAATTTCGAATCTAGATCATCAATGATTATTGATTTTTTAACATTCAATCATTCATCCAATCATCACACACACACACACACACACACACACAATGGTCGAACACTAATTTAGAATCAATTTTCAGTGGAAAAAAAAGACCTGTAGAAAACATTATCTTTCTATCTTTTTCTTTGTCTGTCGTTTTTTTTTCTGTGTCATCATTTTTTTCAAATCAATTTATCATCATCATCATTTTTTATTATTCGTTTCTATTTATCATTTATTTATTCTTTTTTCTGTGTGTGTTTGTCATTGTGAATGGTGATGATAATCTATATATATATATGGATCGATCATTCATCCCATTCATGACTGTTTTTTTTTGTAAACCTGATTTCCTAATTAAATGGATTATATCGATTTTTTTCTCTCTTGATAGTGTAGTGTTGTTGTTGTTGTTGTTGTTTACATCACATCACCGGCATCTATGAACATCTTAGATAGATTAAGTTAGGTTATCTTTAAAGGAATTAAATAATGTTTAGGTCTTTTCGTTTGTGTTCTGCTAGCATTATTATTACTCAATGATATATTGAATAATTATAAAGTAGGCATGAATTTCATACATTGAAACTAAGCTTCTTAGTTTAGTTTAATTTAAAGTAAAATAGTTGCTGAATCAAATCAATAATAATAATAATAATAATGATGATGATGTGTGAATGTCGGTGTGTGTGTGTGTATGTGTCATGATCCGAATCGAATTTGAATCAAATCCTTCGGACGTTCTTTGAGTGTGTGTGTGTGAATAAAGAAATATACATACATTCAGTATGTAATCAAAGTATGAACATTTTTTTCATAAATTGCAATAATTTTCATTCATTGATTCATTCATTTTGAATGATAGATCATGTGTTTGTGTGTGTGTGGCGATAAGCACAAAGCACTTAGAAAACTAAAAAAAAAGAAAAAATGAAATAAATGATTGAATCAATCGAAATGTAAAGAGAGATTGAGAAAAAAAAACCACGTTCAATTATCGATTCACGAAAAGTAAAAGAAAAAAAAATATATTCAAATCCGATACATATTACGGTTATTATTTATAAATAATAACCGATGATGATGATGATGATGATGATGTGATGATTATTATCATAAAGGTAATAATCAAATTCAATACAAACACACACAAACAAACTGACTGACTGACTGAAACTTGTTGAAAATTTATCATTTTCCTATCAAAGTGTGTGCGGTCATTTAATATATGGATCTAGATCTTGAAATGTATGCATTTGGTATATGAATGGAATATTATTCATTCATTATCATCATCATTCATCTGATATTCATTCATTCATCTAATATTTCATTCTACATTCATTGTGATTACAATGATGATGATGATGATGATGATCATCGCTACATTGAACGATTGTTGTTGAATGATAAACTTGCCAAAAAAAAAATTTGTTGTTTAATGTAATGATGATCAATTCAGCCAACTTTACTATTTACGATATGATCAATAATAACGGAACAATAAAAAATATGGCCAGGAAAAAAATTATTATCGTTATCATATGATGATGATGATTAAAGGGAAAAATGAATGAATGATAAATTTACATCTGTAATGAATGAATTTTAGTTGTCCATCTTTTTATTTTTTTTGAATGTGAATTCACTATTCACCATTTATGTTATAATAATAATGAAGATGCTCGGTAATTGGCCTGTTTTTTTTTTTTTTCTTCTCGATATTATCTATGAACCGATACCTTTTTTTAAAGGATCTCCCCATTTAGAAGGCTATTTGGCCACTTACAATGAATGAATGATAATCAAATTCATTTTTAAGAGAAAAAGAAAAAAGATAATTTTTGATTCAAAAAAAAAATTCGTGGAAGTATCAAAAAAAAGAAGAAGAAAAATTTTTCACATGAATTAGTTCAAATCATCAACTAATCTATGTGTATATGTGTGTGTGTAGGATCTGTATTTTTGAATGAATATTGAATGAATCTCTAACTGTTTGTGATTCAATGGATACCGATGAATGTATGGATAAATTATTATCTTTATATCTGGTATAAAATTTTGTAGTAATTATCGATCAAATTAATTGCAATTACATGCATACATCGGCCACACCTCTATATGTTTACAGAGAAAAAAAAATATAAAAAAAGCACCCTGAATTAAATCAAGCTAACACACACACACACACACACTTGAAATCACTACATTAATCGTTTTTGATCAAAAAAAAAAAAAAACAGAAATTGTCATCAATCCTGTAGTATCACTGTAGTATGATAATTCAAATTGAATGGTTTGATAATTCCAAAAAAAAAATCATACCTGAATGTAATAACATCTTTTTTTTTGATTTGATTTGGTTCGATTTAGAGAATGTCACAAGGATGATGACGATATTGTTGTTGTTGTTGTTGTTGTTGTTGTTTCATATTTTGAAATGTGAATAAAAAATGAATTTTTTTCCCGTTTATTTTTTTCACCACAGACAGAGAAATCGTCACCAATCAACATAGGAAATTATCATCGATTCAATGATGATGAACAGAATAGTTTATAAGCAAAACAAAACAAAAAACATAAACAAAAATGAAAAAAACGAATAACGAATGAGATTCAAATTAGTTGATTAATTTGATATAACTCAATTAATTGAAAAACAGCAACAAGAACATGAAAAATGAAATTCAAAAAAAAAAAAATAAAATAACAATAACTTACATGATTACGAAGATTAGTCTGTTTACTAAAACCACGATTACAAATGGAACATTTGAATGGCCACGAACCATTATGTACATACATATGGCTTTTAAGATCACCTGGTGTTGGAACTGTTGTATTGAATTATAATGAAACAACATTTAAAAAAATGGGAATAATTCACAGTTGAATAAAGTATATGCAGAGATTAAGACACAAAAAAAACAATCAAATGTTAAATCTAATCAACATTATCAAAAATTTTAATCAAAAAAAAAAAATTTTTTTACTTACATGACTTGGAACACAATTGACAAGCATGTGGCTTAACCTAAGTTATTAAGATAATTGAGGAATGAGAGCAAAAAGAGAAAAAAAACAAAAAAAAGAGATTAAATTAATAAAATTGAATTTAGAACAAACAAAAGAACATGGATTTCGAAACACGCACAAACACACAAACAAGCGAATACGAACTATGTTTGACAAACAAAAACGTTGAATGAGATTGACAAATGAAATCCATCATCAACATTAATTTCTAAATGTAATTTCCACATACAGATTTGATTTAACGACATTTATGGATGATGGTAATTATCAGACAAAAAAAAACAAGAAAAAAAAACGACAACGATCAAAGTAAAAAAAAAAAATTCATTACAGGCAACCTGTTGCGCGAGCTATGAGCTGTTTATGCATTTTAGCAACAGGTTGCATTCCTTGATCAATTTATATATCTTAATGATTGGATTGGGCGTCAAATATTGAAACAAAATTTAATTTAATTTTTTTTACTTTTTGACAATGATTAATCAATGAAAAAAAACAAATATAAATACAAAAAATGCATTTGGGAAGAGAAAAAGCCAATGAAATTTGAGAATCTTTATTAGTACTTGTAATTGATCTTTTTCCATTATTGTTCTTGAAACCAATAAATTCTATTGTAGATTTACCGAATTTACATTTTATTTTAATTCAAACAGAGTTTTTCTTTGAGGAAAATATTAAAGACTTGCTTTAAATGATCAAGTGATGAAGTCAGCCAGCCATTTAGAAATATATGAGATTTATTATTGTTGAATGTTCGAAAAAAAAAATTTTTTAAATGATTTTCGTGATCATGTGTGGAAAACTTATTTTCAACATCATTTTGTTAATTTTTTTGTTTCTTTGGATCATCAAAAATTAGAACAATTTCATCGTCATCGATAATGATGAATGTATGTCCATCGTGAAGATCATTTTCATCATCATTTTGCAGAAATTTGCTAAAGATTGATTATATCTAACAATGATGATGATAATGATGAGGCCAAACACAATTTTTATTTGTGGATGGCTCAAAAGTTGTCGGTGGAAGAGAGAGAGAGAGAGAGAGAGAGAGAGAGAAGAGAGAGAGTGTGTGTGTGTGTTACAAAAATTTAAATAATTTTTAATAACCAAAAAAGAAAAAAAATCATATCGATCATCAATAAATTGCGTGCATCTGATATATTCTTATTCTGTTTACTGTCTTTTGGCTACCGAAATTTTCTAATTAGAATTTTTTTTCTCTCTCTCTCTCTCTCTAATATCGATCAACTATTAATTATCATCATCAATCAAATATCAAACATTGGATGATGATAATAATGAAAACTCAATAAGGGAAAAAGGTTTTTTTCATCAAAAAACGAAAAAAACTTTGGTTGTCTCATGTGAAGTGATGAAAAAAAACCTCCAAAGAATCATAATAACAATCAACAATGATGAAAGCAAAAAAAAAAAAAACTTATTGACCTCAATGATGATGATGATGATGATGATGATGATCACCATCATCACGACTAATCATCATTGAACAACAACAAAGAAAATGCAAAGAATCCATTTATTCATTCATTCATTCATTTAGGTCAATGCAAACAAAAAAAAAACTGTAATAAATTGGAATTTGCATTTTGGCAAATAAAACAAAATAAAAAAAGAATTGAACTCTATTTTTTTGCGCGTTTTAAAATTGATCATATTTATTTATTTCAATCAATCGATATTGTGACAGAAATCAGACAAAAAAAATAAAGAAATAAAGTAGTAGTATGCAATATAATGAATTGCCAAAAACGATTATTATCAAAAAAATCGATTTCGGCCATTGAATTCAACAATGGAATCGATTTTTGTTGTTGTTGGTTTGTTTGATGATGCTGATCATATATATGAAGTATAATTATCAATTTGTATATTTGATAAAACGAGAATTTGATTACAATGATCATCATCATCATCATCATCATCAATAATCAATTATTATTGTTTCATTGTTGAATAATATGTGGTTTTTTTTCATACAAACTACTAAATGATGACGACTATTAATATTACAATTCTGATGAATGAATGATCATTAGCTAAAATCACACACACATACACACACAATTATTGAATTTATTTTGATTCAGGATCCATCTATCCATTCATTCTATTTAGCTTGAAGCATTTCAAAAATTGATTGAATTTGATTTTCTAAAAAAATTCAGTTTTCAATAAAAAAAAATCCATGTATTATTATATTATGGATGTTTTCAATATTATTATGAATTTCGCTTACTAATTGCACAGCAGCAGCAGCAGCAGTCATTTGGTCTGTGTGTCTAGTCCTGGCGACAAATAATGATGTTGTTATTGTTGTTAGTGGTTGCAACTAATTGGAAACAAAATTTATAAGCACAAAAAAAAACATTATCAATTTTGTTGCGGTGGTCAAACACTGATGATGACCGTTTGTGGAAAAAAAACAATCTAATTGCCAAAAATAAATTCTGCCACCAAAAAAAAAAAAAAAGTTTTCTTTTGTTTTATCGTTTTTTTTCTCTCGATTTTCACAAAGTATTGATGATCTAAAAAATGATAATGATAATATAGAGATAATAATAATAATTTTAATAATCATCATTGAGATCAATGATTCAAATAACAGAACAGAACTGAACTTTGGTACAGTACCTGTGCAGGCTGTATTCTGTTTTCAGAGTAGTATACAAAAGTCAAATTCTTTCATTATTATTTCTGGGTAAAAATAAAAATATTTGTGTCCATCTGCAGCCCTAAATAATACAAAAAGTAACTAACTACTATTATCATCTGATGATGATGACGACGATTGGGTATATCGCGTCGACAGTCATCATTATCCATCATAGATCATGGTGATGATGGTGGTTATGATGATGATAATAGTAATGTGGCGGCTATGTATAATATATAATTTACATTGTCTATCCAGGTGAATTGTGAAACAAGAAAAAAAAATTGAAATGATCTCTCTTTCTTTTTTATGCAGTGACCATTGACGGTGGTGGTACCCAGAATGCATATGCAGTGGATATTTCAAAAAAAACAACAACAACAACAACGACATATATAACCATCATGGTTTGTTTTTTTGTTTTTTTTTGTTGTTGTTTTGTTCTATCTACCAATATATAACATTGATGATTATGATGGTCAATATCATCATCATCATAATGGTAGTTGATTTTTTTTTCTATTCAAAACCATAGGATAGATAGATAGATAGACATACATGTCAAACCAATATATAACAAACGAATTCAGCAAACACACACCTTAGAAATGGTTCAATTAAAGTTTTTTTTTGCCATGGTTGTTGTTGTTGTTGTTGAAACATTTCAACAATTTCAACGAAAAAAAATTGCCACTGTCATCTCACCATTCATTCATTCAAGAGATAAATATTGTACGTGGTATGTATGCATATACAATGACCTATACCATGTATCAAAAAAGGTCAAATATACAACCTTGTACACTACCCTTATTTTTTTATTTCTATTTTTCGTTTACCGAAAAATAAAAAAGAATCCATCCATCTATTTCTATGGAATGATGATGATTGCTGTTGTTAGTCAGAAAAAAAAGAAAAAAGATTTTTGCCTACTGGCATTACACTCGTTCATTATTGATCATCATCATGGTACAGTATTTCTCATTGTGGGATTGGACATTGGTGGTGGTAATGGTGATGGTCAGCCATTATTATTATTATCATTTTTTTTTCTTAAAGATAGCCATACCTGTGTATATGATGACTATCATCATCATCATTATTATTATCATGTCTTTTTTCTTTTTTCATATTGAAACTACAACCACCACCACCACCACTACCATCATCATCATCATCATCATCCTCGAAGATAATCATCATATTCACTCTCGTTTTGGTTATCTCAATTCATGTTTTTTTTCTACCCCGTGGATGATCTGGTTGTATATGTGGATGGATGATATTATGGAAAGAAAGATTATGATGATTATTATTATTGTGATCATCATCATCATCATCAAATATCAACCAGCCAGCCATCCAGAATTCAAAAAAAAAAGACAAACAACAATACGAACCGGTGATCGTTCATCATCATTTATAATCATCAGAAAATCATTCAAAGAATAACAATAAGGTTCGAAAAAAAAATTTTTTTTGTGATTTCGAGAAAAATGAATTTCAAATCAAAAAAAAAAAAATGAAATTCAAATCTTAAACCTTCAATAATCATATAGAGAAAACATACCCTGCCTGTGCTCCACCTCCTCTGAGCTACGAAGATTTTCAGCCTTTTTTTTACATTTCATTTCGATTTGATTTGATTGAATGAATAAAAAAAAACTACCCATTTTCAATCGAGCAAATGAAATGGAATGAAAAAAAAAACATTATTTTATAAATATACAGTATGAATGATGATTGTAATAATGGACATTCGATATATAATTGTAGCCATCATCATCATCATAGATGATGTTGATGATGATTATGATCACTCAGAACAGACTACCATCATCATCATCAATTTTTAAATAATTTTTTTCCAGTAGCAGATAACAAAAAAAAACCATTATCACATATGGATCTAGCAACAGTAACAGCAACAATCATCATCATCATCGTCATGAATCGTATCGTGATGATGATGATGATGATGATTGTCGACAATTATATCGCGGATGATAATAATAAACGATTCATTTTTTATTCTATTTTCTGATTCAAAATAAGATAAAGAGATAAAAATGAGGAGAGAGAGACAGAAAGAAAAAGAAATGTGTAAAATGAATCAAAAATCGTTTGATATAACAAATGATAATGATAATAATATATGAAGAAATTTGCCTGAAAGAATAAATGGCAAAATTATTGATAAATGCTTGAATGATGTAATGGACACGACAATCACCATCATCACTACTAATCAATAACGATCGAGAATATACCATGTATCCAGAGCAACAAAAAAAAAATGAAGAATCACGTTTATCGCG